GATAAGAGGGAATTGTGATACTAAAATTCAATGAGTTACACACTGGTTTTTTTGTTGTTTTGTTTTGTTTTTGAGATGGAGTCTTGCTCTGTCACCCAGGCTGGAGTGCAGTGGCCCAATCTTGACTCACTGCAACCTCTGTCTTCCGGACTCAAGCGATTCTCCTGCATCAGGCTCCTGAGTGGCTGGGATTACAGGCACCAGTTACCACGCCCAGCTAATTTTTACATTTTTAGTAGAGATGGGGTTTCATTATGTTGGCCAGGCTGGTCTCAAACTTCTGACCTCAAGTGATCCTCCTGCCTCGGCCTCCCAACGTGCTGGGATTACAGGTGTGAGCCACCACATCTGGTGAATTACACACTTCAAATGGTTGACTGTATGTTCTGTGAATTATATCTCATTAAAGCTGCTTTTTTAAAACAAGTTGCAATGTTTACTATTCTTTTGCTGTCATTGGTTCATACAGACCACATGATATCATGGAAATGAATGTGGTTGGAAAACACTGCAAAGACAAAAACAATTGCAGCTTTTGATTTTTAATTTGTAAATACCTTTGGTACTTGCTATGTGCCTTCCACCCTAACTGCATGGTGGATTCTCTATGCATTCCAAATCTTCCCAATGTAATAAGGAAAATTCCACTTCTCCTTACAAGCTAACTTCAACAGTCCCTGCAAGCTTAGTCTCATATTACTTACAAAAACATCTTCCCTAAACCTGCCCTGTGATTCCTGCAAATTTTTCTCCTTTCTGAACGGATGTCTCTTTTACCATTGAATTTATCTCACTGCAATGTTCAGAAAGCACCTTCAGGCTTTTGCATTTTAAGAGACAGTTTTTTTCCCCTGCATCTGTGCTTTTGCCCTTGTTGGATCACAGCTAGTTTCTCCCCAGAGGCCAAATCAAATTTCATAAAACAGTTGGGATCTAGATGGAGGCTAACGAAATCCTTGCTTACCCTCTGAGTCCATCCCTGGGTCTCAGCGGGAGCTGACAGAGGCCCCCTGTCTCTTGAAGTTGTAACCTTTGGTGACCACTGTGTTTGTGGCTAGTCCACTTAACTAAGTGGCCACAGAAGCAATGGGCACCCTCCTCTTACTTGTGACCTTGGCTGGGTGCCTCATGCCTGCTCCTGGGTGAACTGTGTGAGTTGCGGGTCTCTCGGGCAGTCTGTCTCCTGTTCTTCAGGGTGAGGGATCCCTAGGTATGAACTCCACCAAGGTGAGTAGATTGTAGGTAAACTGTGCAGTTGCCAAATCCAACTGGGAAAATCCTAATACACGAATCCTTCCAATGCCCTCTTCTCCCATCTGCCTATTAGATTGTATGCTCTGGGGCCTGTTCAAACTGGGTGCCCATCCTTGCCCTCTAATCACTTGCTGTGTCTTTGGCTGAGTTGCTTAACCTCTCTGGGCTTCAGGTTCTCCAAGTACTTAAAAGGGGATAATGATCCTTTTCTCATAATGTGTGATAAAGACAAAATGATTTTTTTTTTCTTTTGGTGAGACAGAGTCTCACTCACTCTGTTGCCCAGGCTGGAGTGCAGTGGCATGTTCTTAGCTTACTGCAATCTCTGCCTCCCGGGTTCAAGAGAGTCTCCTGCATCAGCCTCCCGAGTAGCTGGGATTACAGGCCTGCACCATCACGCCCAGCTAATTTTTGCATTTTTAGTAGAGACAGGGTTTCATCATTTTGGCCAGGTTGGTCTCCAACTCCTGACCTCTAGTGATCCACCCATCTTGGCCTCCCAAAGTGCTGGGAATAGGCATGAATTCTGCGTCCAGGAAGGATGGAATAAAATTTGTCTGGTATATACTAATGTTAGCTTCCTCTCTCTTATGATCCCAAATGTCCCTCCAAGAAAGCAAGATCTGACCCACAAGGTCCATCCTGGCTGGACTGAGAGCTACGAGGCAGTGGAAAGAGTACTGCACTTGAGGTCAGACCAAGTGACCTAATTTGAAGTCCTAGCTCTGGCTCGTGATCTTGCACAGACTCATCTAACTCACATCTTCCCATGCCACTGGGGCTGGGGTGAGGTGAGCAGCACGAGGGATTATGGGTAAGAAACTGCTTAGGAATCTGGAAGGCTGCTGGGCACGGTGGCTCACGCCTGTAATCCCAGCACTTTGGGAGGCTGAGGTGGGTGGATCACCTGAGATCAGCAGTTCGAAACCAGCCTGGCCAATATGGTGAAACCCTGTCTCCAGTAAAAATACAAAAATTAGCCAGCCGTGGTGGCAGGTGCCTGTAATCCCAGTTACTCAGGAAGCTGAGGCAGGAGAATCACCTGAACCTGGGAGGTGGGGTTTATTACAACAACAGAGTAAGTGAGACTTTGTCTCAAAAAAAAATTTTCATTCCATCCTCATCACATCTTATGAGAAAAGGATCATTATCCCCTTTTCACGGTTGCAATGAGCCGACATCACAGCATTGCGCTCCAGCCTGGGTGACAGAGTAGGACTCCGTCTCAAAAAAAAAAAAAAAAAAAGAAATCTGGAAGTGGCTGTGTGGCTGGGAAGGTCTACTGTCCCACCTGCCCTCCCAGCGACTCTGTGGCCCAACACCCCTCATCCCGCACTTCACCCCCAGTTGCTCCTCACAGGGCCCCACACCCAGCTCCTCAGACTCACTGCTCACAGGCAAGCAGGCTCCAGGACCCTCCCTCTCTGCTGCCCCATTTACCTTCCTTTCTCTACATCCTCCCAGCAGATCCAGTAGATCCTTTCCTAGCCCAAAGCAGCTTTGAAGAGCCATCGTGAGCCAATGGTCGGAGCTGATAGTGTCCTATCCTCGACTTGCATGCAGTGAGTATGGTGCTCTTCATCATTCGTCACTCGTCACTCGACTGCTTAGAGCTGGGGGTGCTGGGGCAAGTTCCTTTCGCCCTCTGTGCTTCTACCGCCTCATCTGTAAGTCGACAATGACAATAGCACCTACCTTGTAAATGTCTGGGTAGATTAAACAAGCGTCACGTGTAAAGACGTTAGCTCAGAGTCCAGCACGTAGTTAGTATTATTGTTGCTTATTTATTCAGCTGTTCCCTATGCAGTTACTCACAGGACACCTCTCCACTGCAGCTAGGGGCACAGTGAATCAGACGGAGACCTCACCCGCGCGGAGTTCTCAGTCCAGGAGGCAGGCAGACAAGACCACAGTTGCAAGGTGATAACAGTGGGTGGGTGTTGTGGGAGTCACTGCACAAAGTGATAAGAGGAAAAGGGTGAGGTGGAAGGATCACTGGAGCCCAGGAAGTCGAGGCTGCAGTGAGCCAAGACAGTGCCACTGCACTCCAGCCTGACGACAGAATGAGACCCTGTCTCAAAAATAATAATGGTAAAATAAAATTTCAATAAAGAGAGGCCTAACACATCAAGCTCTATAAACATGGACTAGCCAGGTCTGTTGCCCAGGATCCTTCTGTGTTCCGCCCTCTGGCTACTGGATTCTTTTTTCTGGTGGAAGTCTGCAGGAGGCGCTAACTCTTCTGGGGTGGTCAGGAGAAGCCTTCCTGAGGGAGAACGTTTAGCTTGGCCTCGGAGGTATAGGAGCTCACTGCTAGTGGGGAAGAGACTGGAAGAGAGCAGTTCTGGGATGGAATAGCACAGCAAAGGCACAGAGGCTGGGAGAGTGGGGCCTGCCTGATCCCCTCCCACTCATCTGTAGCCTGCCCCTGGGGTCCTACTGGGAGCATCTGTGACTCTCACGCTGCAGGTGTCAGTAAGCCTGAGCCAGGAGCAGGCCACAGGTGTCAACACCCCAGGAACTGCCCTGAGCCAAGTGAGTGGGAGATGGGAGGTAAATACTTCAGCATCCTCTGCTCTCCCGGTGGGACAACTGGAAGTTGTGCTTTTTCCCATTTCCCGGAGGACCCCAGCAGGATGGAGCCCCAGGTGCTCAGCACAGTGGCCATCCTTGAACGCACTCTGTGTTAACGTCCACCTGGGACAGGCTGTTTGGACTCCATCCTTTTTCCAGGGTCTGCTTCCTGGCAAACCTGTGAACCCAGCCTAACACATCAAGCTCTGCAAGCGTGGACTAGGCAGGTCAGTTGTCCAGGATCCTTCTGTGTTCCATCCTTCTGGCTACGGGATTTGTTTTTCTGGTGGTTACTGAGCATCCATCCATGGCCAGCCCCGGATTAGACACTGAGATTCAAAGAAGGGGAGAAAATAGTCCCACAAGGAGCTGTTGGAGGAGACAAGACATATCTGGGACAAAGAGAATACTGAAAAAACCGGAAAGATGGAGTTCGCTTGGGGAAGAATAAGAAAGTTGGTGCGTGAGATCCTAGGAGATTGCCACAGAGAGAAGTAGGGAGTGGAGGCTGTAAGGACAAATGGAGGGTCTTGCTCTGTTGCCCCGGCTGGAGTGCAATGGCATAATCTCGGCTCACTGCAACCTCTGCCTCCCGGGTCCGAGTGATACTTGTGCCTCAGCCTCCTAAGTAGCTGGGATTACAGGTGTGTGCCACCACGCCAGGCTAATTTTTGTATTTTTAGTAGAGACAGAGTTTTACCACGTTGACCAGGCCGGTCTCGACCTCCTGGCCTCAAGTAATTCTCCTGCCTCGGCCTCCCAAAGTGCTAGGATTATAGGCGTGAGCCACCACCCTGGGCTGAGGCTGCATGTGGAGTCTGAAGCCTGGAGTGCCTCTTGTGGCTGCTTCTCAGTGGGGTGCCATAGAAGGGTTTTGGGATAGGAACAGCTGGTGTGTTGGAAGGGCCCTGGGCTCAAATGGAGGATGACAGGACAGGGCGAGGCCCAAGTCAGGGAGGCCCAGGAGCAGGCTGTCGGAGGAGTCTCGGCCGGGCCTGCTGTGGTTCTGTAACTTCAGCTCAGCCCTGGCTCAGCCAGCCCAGGCTCCTCCAAGACCTCCCCCCTGCAGACTCTGGAGGGCTGTCTTCTCATAAGTGCTTGGGACGCTTCCTGCCTTCCCACCCTTCCTTTCAGACCCACTTCCTGCTTGGCCTCCAAGCCTATTCTTCCTCTTACCTTCTCCCATTATCTCTGACTTCAGAATGTTTGCTTTGGCTCCCACTGTCTCCCCTCTGCTCTCTCCTGCGGTTAGTGTTGGATACTCAGCAAAATCTCTCCTTCCTACAAGCCAGGGCAGACCCATCGGGGCAGGGATTGTCTTCTTTCTACTTTAAGTAAACGGAATTGGAGCAACCTTGGCCTTGGAAGACAGATTTTGTCTTCTAACGACTTTCCTTCAAAACCACAAATGCATTTTGTCTCGATTTGAGGTGGTTCTTGCCTCTCATCTCAGCAACCTCAGGGTGGGCATGAAGCAGCCTCTGGCAGCCTGACGATTTCACAGCGGATGCTGCGCTTTTGTGAAAAGTCGATTTCTCTGCAAACCAGCCGAGAGGGCAAAGAGTGCGGTGTTCCTTCCATTCAACAGATCTCTATGAGCCAGGCCTCGAGCTGTGTTATGGGGAGTCACTGAATAAGGCATCTGCTCTCCAGGCCCGCATGGCCTGATGGAGGAGATGAACAAGGAGACTGTCCGCATGAAAGCTTGTACAAAGTACCACGTGGTCTCAGTGGAGGTGCAACGCCGTCCACGCTGACCTTGCATGTGCAAAGCATCAGAGCTGTGCAACCTTGGGCAAGTTATTGAACCTCCCCCTGCCTCAGTGTCCTCAGCTATGAAACAGGCATAATGAGAGTTTTTCTCTTCTAGGCTCGATGTGGGGATTACATAAGACACACAGGAAGTGCTTAGCATAGAATCTGGACAAGGAAATGCTCACTATTCTCTCTTTTAAAAACGTTCTCGGCCGGGCGCGGTGGCTCACACCTGTAATCCCAGTACTTTGGGAGGCCGAGGCGGGTGGATCACGAGGTCAAGAGATCGAGACCATCCTGGTCAACATGGTGAAACCCCGTCTCTACTAAAAATACAAAAAATCAGCTGGGCATGGTGGCGCATGCCTGTAATCCCAGCTACTCAGGAAGCTGAGGCAAGAGAATTGCCTGAACCCAGGACGCGGAGGTTGCAGTGAGCCGAGATCGCGCCATTGCACTCCAGCCTGGGTAACAAGAGTGAAACTCCGTCTCAAAAAAAAAAAAAAAAAAAAGTTCTCCTGTGATCGGGATTTTCAGGTTCCCCAGTGGGGATGTGTGGAAAAAACAAAACAAAACAAAACATTCTCCCAGCACTTTGGGAGGCCAAGGTGGGCAGATCACTTGTGGTCAGGAGTTCGAGACCAGCCTGGCCAACATGGTGAAATCCTGTTTCTACTAAAATGCAAAAATTAGCCGGGTGTGGTGACAGGTGCCTGTAGTCCCAGCTACTCAGGAGACAAAGGCAAGAGAATCGCTTGAACCCAGGAGGCAGAGGTTGCAGTGAGCTGAGATCACACCACTGCACTCCACCCTGGGTGACAGAGTGAGACTGGGTCTCAAAAACAAAAAACAAAACATTCTCCTATCATTTAAATTCTTCCTAAAAGTATACAATTCAGTGGTTTTTATTCTATTTGCAAGGTTATGCATCATCACCACTATTTCCAGAACATTTTCAATACCCCAAAAGAACCTTGTACCCATTATGTACCCCTTCCCTCAACTCCCCCTGCTCCTACTTTCCATCTCTATGGATTGACCTATTCTGGACACTTCATAAAAATGGAATCATACAGCGTGTGATCTATTGTACCTAGCTTCTGTTTTCAAGATTCTTCCATGTCATAACACTCATCAGTACTTCACTCTTTTTTTACTGCTGAATCATACTCTAGTCTATGGATATACCACGTTTTGTGTATTTATTCATTGGTTAATGGTCATTTGGGTTATTTCCACTTTTTGATTTCTATGAATAATACTGCTATGAACATTCATGTAAAAGTTTTTGTGTGAGCATACTTTCATTTCTGTTGGGTGTATACCTAGGAGTGTAACTGCTGGGTCATACGGTGATGCCATGTTTAACTTTTAGATGAACTGCCAGACTGTTCTCCAAAGTCACACACCTACTTTTTTTTTTTTTTTTTTTGAGACAAGGTCTTACTCTACTACCCAGGCTGCAGCGTGCAGTGGCACAATCACAGCTCACTGCAGCCTCAACCTCTTGGCTTCCAGCAATCCTCCAGCCTCAGCCTCCAGAGTAGCTGGAACTATAGGCACATGCCAACACGCCTGGCTAATTTTTGGTATTTTCTGTAGAGACGCGGTTTTGCCATGTTGTTCTAGCTGGTCTCAAACTTCTGGGTTCAAGTGACTGCCGTGGCTTCCCAAAGTGCTGGGATTATAGCTACTGAGTCCGGCTGACACCAGCTACTCTTGACTCTGTTTCTCAAAACACTCCCAGACACCACTGCTTCACAGCCCCAGTGGGGCTATTACAGTGCCAAAACAGAAATGATGTATCTGGAGCCCCAGGGCAAGTCAGCGGCAAACCAGGACCTAAGCCAAAATCTTTGGGGCCCATCACCTTGCTGCCTTAGGCACCTGGACTTTTTAAATTGCATTCTGGATACATGAGACATGGTATGAGGCATTGCCCATGAGCATGACAGCCCAGTGTCCAGCAGGTGAACGGTGACCACCCTGGCCTATCTGAGCCTCCCAAACACCAGAGGCCCTGAGTCCCCTCCTCCACCCCTGTTGGCACACACAACCCTACGTGGTCCCTGAGCTCTAGGCCAAAGGACAATGGCAGATATGATCATTTAAATGGCTACACTGTCCCAGATGGGTGGGTAGTGTTTCTAGGGTGGAGGGGAGCCCTGGGAAGCTGCCTTCCCAGCCTGCACTTCTCCTGCCAGAATTAGAGCCCAGCCTTAGATCCCTGCCTCCCTGGTGGAGGACCTAGCCCCATTCCTCACCCACATCAGAGTCTCACCTTCTTGTGACCTTCCTGTTCACCCAGTTCCTTACCCAGACCAGCATCTTCTCACTGCAAGCTCTCAGGCCCCTCTGATGCTGTGTTAAAATGACCTTGAACTGAGACCTAACCTTGCTGAAACCCAGTTTTCTCATGTTCCCTGCCTATCCCATAGGGTGGTTGTAGAAGCAGCACAAGGTGGGGATTCGGGGCATGAGACTGGCAGTCAAACGAGGGTTGATTTGAAACGAGTTACCACCACTTCCTTATTAGCTCTGTGACCTGGGAAAATTCACTTTATCCCTCTGAGCCTCTCTTTCATTCTCTGAGAAACGCAGACCCACATAAAGAGTACAGCAGCTGGCACAGAAAAAGGACTCAATGATAGCTGTGGTTATTGTTTTTACAGAGTAAAGGAGATGGGCATGAAAAGTGCCTACCATATGGCAGGTGCTTAGCACACAAGAGCTATGGTTTTTACCATCCCCTGTCTTTGTGTGGGTGAGTGGCCCAGGGTTTGAGGGCTTGGGGGAGATGGCTTTGATTATCACCCAGAGCATCCATGCAACCAGAAAGTGAACTCCAAGCAAATGCAGACCAGTGGTCAGGGCAAGGGGAGCCAAGGGTGCGGGAAGCATTGGGACAGAGCCAACACTTCTGTAAGCTGAGTATGAAGAACAGAGTGAAACCAGTTGAGTGGGAAAGTCTCCAGTGAGCGCCAGAGGCAGGGGTTTCTGAGGGCTGCAAGGCTTTTAGGCACTCAAGTACCTGCTTTGTAAGCAGCCAGAGCTATTTAAAGAAATGTACTGAGCAGCGGCTTTGGGGATGCCTTAAGCTTCCTGGGCAGATAAGCCATGTCCATGTCCCAGCAGGCTTTGGCAGTAAGTATCACATGACTGTGCAAACAGACAGAAAGCTGAATGTGAGCTAGGAAGCCCAGAAGCCAACAGAGATCATGGCAGACTTCCTGGAGGAGCTGGCTTTATAGAATGCTGAGGTAGCCATTGATAGGTCATTGATCTGAGAGGGAAGAAGGCACGTAGGCAAGACTACAAAACTTGCTTCAGGGGGAGGAGCAAGAAGATGCATCTTCTTGAAAACATCAATACAATTTTTGTCTTATTCAAAGGGATGCATTTTCATTGTAAGAAATTTAACAGTAAGAAGTTGTGAAAAGGAGAAAATGAAAAAAACAATCTCCTATATTCTCAGTCTCTAGGGGTCACTAGTATGAAGATTTGGGTGTGCTTTCTTCTATGTTTTAACAAAACATATTACGTATGTTTTTCTTTTTGTTTGGTTTTGTTTTGCTTGCTTTGCTTTGGTTTTGTTGTTGTTTTTTTGAAACAGGATCTCTCTGTCACCCAGACTAGAGTGCAGGGGCGTGATCTTGGCTCACTGCAACCTCTGCCTCCTGGGCTCAAGGGATTCTCCTGCCTCAGCCTCCTGAGTAGCTGGGATTACAGACACGTGCCACCACGCCTAATTTTTGTATTTTTGGTAGAGATGGGTTTTCACCATGTTGGCCAGGGTGGTCTTGAACTCCCAACCTCAAGTGATCTGCCCACCTCGGCCTCCCAAACTGCTGTGATTGCAGGCGTGAGCCACTGCACCTGGCCTTTTTTTTTTTTTTTTTTTTTTTAAAGAAACAAAAATAGACTCATATAGTGTGGACTGTTTGTGACCTACTTTTTTTTTTCTTTTCCCAGAGACAGAGTTTTACTTTGTCACCCAGACCGGAGTGCAGTGCCGTGATCATAGCTCACTGCAACCTCAAACGCCTGAGCTCAACTGATCCTCCTGCCTCGGCCTCCCAAATTACTAGGATTATAGGCATGTGCCACTGCACTAGGCCTGTTTGTGACCTACTTTTAAAAATGTATCATGAACTGTGTTCCCTGCCATTAAATATGCCTTTTCACCACTACTTAATGACTTTATAGTATTCTCTCATATGAATGGAACATAATTTATTTAAGCAATTTTCTATTCTTGGATACTTAAGTGGCTTCCAATTTTTCAGTATTGTAAGCATCTTCTTAAATGAATATCCTTGTAGCTGAAACTCTGTGCACATCCTTAATTATGTCCTTGGGATACATTTCTAGGAAAGGAATGTTAGGATAAAGGATATGCAGATTTTAAAGAATCTTAACACGTTATTGTCAAATTGCTCCCCAGAAAGTTTGTATGGATTTATTCTCTCACTAGCAGAATATAGGGTGCTATTTTCTTAGCATTTGTACTGCCATTGGCTATGGCCTTTTCTCATCATGAATTTGATACATTAAAGACCAGAATTCATGAATTCAAAGTTCCTGAAATGTAAAAATGGAAACAATAATAATGATATGTATCATGGGTCTGTTGTGACAATCAAACCACATAATAGGTAGAATGTGCTTAAAAAGAAAACAGAATTTGGAAGCCTTGTGAGTCAAATTTGAAAAGATAAGATAGTTGGGAACCAGCTTTATAAAGTTCTTTGTTTATTTTCTCTTTAACTTCAAAATTAATAAATGCTTGTAAAAATTGAAACAATCCATAGTTGTGAGAATAAACAACCAAAGTATTCCTTTGATTCTTTCACAATGCCTTCCCTAGAAGTTGGATGTGTATCCTACCAGATCTTTCTTTCTAGCTTTGCAAACTGTGTGTGTATATGTGTGTGTGTATTTATATACAAAGTTTTGTTGTTTTACAAAATGGAATCCTGTATCGAATGTCTCTCTCATCTCAGAACATATGAATCTACCTTATTCTTTATCATTTCCATGGATTCTGTAGTCGGATAAGCTGCATTGCTTAATCTTACCCCAAGCAAAGAAGTAACAACACATCATCATACCCATTTCCTTGCATATTTGAGTTGGTATTTCTGTAGCTTGGATCCTAGCAGTAGAATGCTAGGTCAAAGTGGGTACACATTGTCATACTATCACATTGCTCTTCAAAGAGATTGCACTAATTTATTCTCCCAGCATCAGGGCGAGAGTGTGTGGAGGGCTGGGAACTGCAGACTCAGGGGAGTGAGGGCAGCCCTTCAGTGCCTTGGCCTGGGTCAAAAAATAGCCCCTATCTCCCCTTTTCTCTTCTAACCCTAAAATTTCTGAAAGAAACCTGAAGTGAAGCCGAGACCTGTCTGTCTCCATCATAAGCTTCTTGCTGTCCTCCACGGTGAGGCAAACCACAAAGGAATCTTTTTCTTGTTAATTAACTGGAGTTTTATTAAACACCTTAACAGCTAGCCAACTGCTCTGACCCAGCCATTCCTGGGAGACATTTTGATGAGGAAT